AMAAAAAAAAAMAACTTTCGATGCCAAATTTTTACAATTTTATCAGTGCCAGCTTGTGCCATTTCAGTTTGTTTAACAACACAAGTATGTTAAACCACACGCTGCTTAACAAAAACTGTTCTTAATCCACTCCAAAAGAGGAAAAAAACTCTTTAGTTTCTTTAGTGGAATAAGGAAAGCACAGTCAAACTGAGCAATTTAATCATTGAATCGTAGCGTGTGTTCAAAATGGCCTACCAAACCCAGGAAGTTGGTACCAAAAGGTTAAGTTCCTGGAATGAGAGACTTGCCATGCACGTGCAAGATTTATCAACTTTTTCTTTAGAATCGATTTGCCAATAAAACAACTAAAAATTTATAAAACAACAAACCTCAACTTAAACACGCAACGAGAGATGCTAAATCGTATTATATACGTAAGGAAATACGCATTGCATAACCGGTAAAGCAGAGGCAATTACGCAAACACACATRCRTACGTTTTCTAAAACAACGAATCTCAGCTTAAACACGAGAGCTSCTAAATCGTAATACGTAAGGAAATACGCATTGATACGGCGTAACCGTATCGTGATCATCAAGCCTTGACTGAGGGAAGCGAATTTCCAGCTTACAAGACAGGAAATGTAAGAGTGAATGAGAACTGACCCTGGCATTTAACAGGAGAAAGAATGACGAAAACGAATGCAACATCCGGTATCTGGGCCAGTGAAAATACTGATTTCAAGATGCTTTGAGTTTTATATGACGGATGAAATGCATCTTACAAGGATCTTAACCGAGCATTTTGTCCGTTCTTCTTTTTATTCCGTAACGTAAACAAGTTAGACCTTCAGGCAAGATGTAGGCATATCAAAGAAGTGAAGTTTGGTATGCAGAAGCCACACGGGAAGTTGAATTGTGCGAGAACAGGTTATCGATACGAGATAGACTTACGGATACGTAATGAACACTCGCTCGTCTTTCATATRTCGTTGCCAAAAATCGATGAATTCCCAAGGGCAGATCAAAAAGCAAGAAAGGTGTTTCAATAGACGTGACCCCAAATCATCAAATTTTGTACAAGTCGAATATGCCAAGTATTTGATATTTTTGGCCCGCTGCCCGCATTGCCTTAACATTCTGTATGTTAAAAAACGAAACGTGTGCAGAATGTTCGAGTTCTTTTTCGACAGAGTGCAAATGTACAAGACAAAAAAAAACAAGTGCTTGTCAGACTGCTTAAAAAAGTGCTATCTTACTGACTTACATCCTTTCCAAGGGATTATAATGACGTAAAGCATTAAGATTATAAGCCAAAATATGCATTTATTATATAGAAGCTACTGGGCCTACTGGAAATTCGACGCATAAAATAAATAAAAAACGCTCGCTGTTTGCTATGCAGTTATGAAAATTCTCACATAGTTTCAAACAGTATTTTTACATATCGCATCGGCATGAATAATATGAGTAGAACGACAGTGCTTATGTTTATTTTAACTATTGTTCTTTTCTTTCTGGGACGCAAAGTTTACATACGATTTTAAATGAATTCGGTCATCATAAAAAAACCTTGGCGGACAACTATACTACCACCTGGGGAGTCAGTAACTTTTGCTACAACTGAAGTCTTTCGAAGTTTACGTTAATCAGTGAATGAACGCGATACGCACTTACGTAATCTAGATGACGGACAAAAAGTGTTTACATACTTAAAATGTGGTTCCAGAGTTCTAAACTTTATTAACAACGCATTCTGGTCGACTCTATCTAGCCTTACGCTAACTCCGAAACATGCTGATCCAGCTTTAACAATATACTTGACTAAAACAACATAAAAATAAGAAAATAACGAAAAAACGGACATGTTACGCGTTTGCCTGTGACATGTTCGATAATTTGACCAGTAATTTAGGACTATAACACATTACAACGTTGAAAACCTTGTCCACCTACCTTTTTACTCACTCACAAAGAACGACCTGTGGTTTTACGACCTCAAGAGCAGGAAACGTGCTATTCGTATGGTTCTACTCTCTTACAGGATGTTTTGACTGCCCGACAAGCGTATCTTATATCGTTATCTTTTCCCCAGTCTCCTTAAAGTACTCGCGGTCAGGAAATAAGATATGTTTATGACGTCAAACTTAAACAACTTTGCATGCAACCAAAATCGGGTCAAAACCATGTTGTATAAAGAGAATTTGTGTCCGCAAATTACATTTAAGTTAATAAAAACAGAGTTTTGAAGTGTGCAAGTGCGGCCGTTCCATGGAAAAGCGAGACGTCGACCTTGTGTGTACGTGCTTTCGACTGCATTCCAATGACGTCATTACGTTAAAGGTGGTAATACAATACTACATCCCCCTTGAACAAGCATGACGGCTGTCATTGCATGAACCTATAAGAATTTTGCTAACGGCATCCTTTCTAAGTAAAACTTTGAAGATTATCAAAAATATCACTGGAAATTGTCCGAGGGTCTAGACAAAAAGATATAAAACCGGAGGAAGGAAGCTCCGATATCCGATGTAGTTATCAAATCCCGGTAAATTTGAAAGGAAAATCAAATCGAGCGCGTAGTCAGGACTTGGACTTTTATAACTTCGACCTTCAGCCGAGCGTTTCGCGATTTTGATCGACGCGCTGATCTTATCATATATTGATATCAAGTAATTGTCAAAACCTCACACGGCTAGCCAGCACGAGGAAAGTCAATTTTTGTGGGTACATATACGTCTGGGGAAAGACATAGGATGGCAAGATGCCTTCACAAGAATTTACACTAGGGAGTGAGGGTAGGGGCGGGAAGAGGTCAAAGTCTATTTACAGCATTTTTTCAAACATTTGTTACGACAAGGTCTAGCCGAAAGTGAACAACACTGGGTWGACCATGCTAAAGAATTTAGCTGAAAATGACTAGTATTTAAAGTAATATCCATGGACAAAATGAGCTGAATGACTCCGTTTTGAGTCACTCACCTAAGTGTCATTTATAACAACTTGATTCGCTGATTTGCTGACTGATTGGTTCCAGAGTAAACATATCAATCTTCTATGTCTTGTTAAAATACGATCTTGTTTGATCATTTCTTCGTTAATCTTTTAAAACTTTGTCATTGCATTCCGACTCCATCATACATAAGGCATCTAGTTTGTCCACCATTGCCTGGATACTACTTAGTGGCGGATCCCAAACGTGGTGTTCTTGGCTTCTATTCAAAAGGACATAGTKCAAACGGCCRCAACGGCAGTTTTAGTTGTTTTTTTTTTGAATGATTCCTATTTAGATTTCCGCATCATTTCGCTCTATTTCCGTATACTCTTTGAACCCTAAAAAGTTGGGTGCCTAGTTATTATTAGACGGTTTGATTTTTTCGCGAGTGAATCACGAGATTAAACGTGTAAAAGCACATGAACTTCGTACGTAAACGTGAACCAGCACGTGTTGGTAAATTGACGCCACGGACAGCAGGACCACCCGTTACGGTGTACAATGCCAGACACTGTCAACATCACGTAGTCACTACGCACGGTGCGTACATCTCGTTATTATTTTTTTTTCGCGGGAACAGCGGACCGGGTAAAAGTCGTGAAAAGCTTGAATATGTGCCTGACCGATCCAGAGCGCGCGCTATTCCTGGCATACCCGSACCGAAAATAGAAATGATATTCACAAATAGCCAGCTTGATGCCTGGTCACTTGGGTGTGCGATTTTACTTGGCAAAATATCAGTAGATTACTGAAACCACGGGGGTCTAAA